CTGCTGCTGCAACTAGTGCTGCTGCAGCTGCAGCTTTTACTGCTGCAGTGAATACTGCTGCTGCTGCTGCTGCAGCCGTGAAGGATCTTTGCCTTCACTTGGGGCCCCAAGCAACCTGCGTTGCTGCGTACAGTTGAGATGCTGCTGCTGCTGCATCACCTGCAGCAGCAGCAGCACTATCTGCAGCAGCAGCACCGCCTGCTGCAGCAGCACCATCTGCAGCAGCAGCACCGTATGCTGCTGCTTCTGCAGCTGCTGCTGCTGCTGCTTCTGATTTGCTCAGACACCCCACGAAAAGACTTTGGGTTTCTTCGTTATGCTGCAGCACTTGCTGCTGCAGGTGTGGCGTTTGCTGCTGCTGCTGCGGCTGCTGCTGCTGCTGCTGGCCAAGCTGCTGAGGCTGCTGCTCCCCGTGCAGCTGCTGCATGTATTGCCGCTGCTGCTGCTGCACATGCCCGTTCTGTTGCTGCTGCTGCAACTCTTGCTGTGCCTGCTGCTGCAGCTCTTGCTGCTGCTGCTTCATCTGTTGTCGTCGGTGCTGCTGTAGCATCTGCATCGCTGGTTGCTGCTGTTGCTGCTGCTGCTGCTGCTGCATCCCTTGGCGCTGCCGTTGCTGCATCTCTTGCTGCCGCAGCATCAGCTGCATCTCTTGTTGCTGCTGCTGCAGCAGCAGCAGCAGCTGCTGCTGCTGCTGCTGCAGCCACCAGCTCAATGCTGCTCTCTGCGTTCTGAGGGCAGCAAAGGAGAGGGCCTCAGCGTTGGGGTCCCCCTCTTCTTCTAGGGGCCTGAAGAGGCGTATAGAGGCCTCAACACTGCAGCAGCAGCAGCAGCTGCTGCTGCTGCTGCTGCTGCTGCTGCAGCTGCTGCTGCAGCAGCAGCTGCTGCTGCTGCTGCTGCGCACCATCACCCTGCCCTCGGCCCTGCAGAGAGCACCCATATCAACCAGCGGGGGGGGCTCAAAGGCAGCTGTCTCCTGCGGGTGGGGGCCCCCTCTGTCTCCGCCTCTCCTGCTGCTGC